TTATACTATGTGAAGTTTCACAGGTTTTGAACAAATATTCATCGAGTTATATCATTTTTTCGTCAAAAAACTACTGATGAATTTTTTATTTTACTATTTACAGGAACGTTTTCGTTAATTTGACCACTTTGTCAAAAGAAAACCTCATGTACGATGATAATAAAGTTGATGCAGATGACTTTGAAGAATTCACATATCAAATTTCAAGTCAAACGAATGGATATTCATAAAATTAGCTCAATTTTTGATGAAACGATTTTATATTTTCTTTGCAGATCATTTCTTTAAAAAAATCGCTGCCAAACAAGAAATCGCGTTTTTACGAAAAAATTTATTAAGCTAATCAATTTCATGTTCTTAACAAAAAATGTAGAACTCATCAAAAAACTTATAGTTTCATAATACAATTTTATTTATTTTATTAATAAAAATTTTCACAAAATACATTTTAAAAATTTTCGAATTTTTATTAAAGACGAATTTTTTTTTTTTTGTGATATGTATTAGCCTTACGAAATCGTAAGTTTCCGAATCTCGCGGCTTGGACGCTACATATCATGAGATTCTGGTGAGGAACATATTCGTGAGCACCAACCCGTACCAAAACAATCCTCACCTATGTAAAAATAAAGACAATAGCCTCTAAAGTGCTCTAAGCAAGAATAGGCCAATTATGTTAAGGGGTAGACGCCTATTGATCTTTATGCACAAGCTGAGAATAACAAAAAATTTTGTTTGCTCTTTAACAGGGAAATTAATTCCCAAGGCCGTCTTCAGCTATATGTGGTCTTATTTTTTTACATAGAATCCAGAACTATCTTGTACAATATGTCCTATGGTGTAAGATAAACAAACACCTAAAAGAGCAATAAAATCAAAACAATCGAATAAATAGATGATTAACAATCACATATTGTACGAATTTATTTATATTAATAGTTTAAAATTTATTAAGACTGTTAACTGCGCGATACATTAAAATTATAATACATATAAATAAATATTAAATAAGTATTTAATATATTTTGATTTCTGATTTTAAGTTAAATATAATCGATTTTATTAATATTTAATACATATAAATATTTTATTTAATATAATTCGTTAATAATATAATTAAATAAAAAAAAAACTTTTAGATTTAATCTAAAAGAAAAAAAAAAATAATTATACTATTTATTCATATGGGAGAGCATTTTTATTAAGTTGAGTTCGTAAAGAATTATTTTCTTGTTCTAATCGTTTTATAGTTTGTTTGTAAGTTTTTTCTCTTCTATCTTTTTCTTCCAATCTTTCACTATATTCAAATTCATATTTTCTTCTCATTTCATCGATTCGTTCAATTTCTTTTTTGTTGTTTTCAATTATAGTCATCAAATTTTCAACTTCTTTTTCATTTTTATCAATTAGTTTTTGGTAAAGACTGATTTGAATAGCATGGTTTTCTTTCATTTCTTGTTTTTGTGTTTCAAAAGTTTCTCGATAAAGACTAATTTCATTAAAATGGTTTTCTTTCATTTCTTGAATCATAGTCATTAATTCGTTAATTTTTTCATTAAGTTGTTTTTTAGTGGTATTATTTCCTCCAGACATGCTATTTGTTTTAAAAAAAAAATTAATTAAATTAGCATAATAAATTTAAAAATAAAAATGATATTTACTTGTTAAAAAAGTCGTTAAGGTATTAAGAGATCCCTGAGAATTTCATTTTTTGTTTAATTGTTATTTTAAGCAAATTTATTTATATTAGTAGTTTAAAATTTATTAAAACTGTTAACTGCGCAATACATATTATATATATATTAAAATTATAAATAAATAAATATTTATTTTAACAATCAAGACTGCGCTATCGTTATCAAAACTATGTATCTAAATTAATAATCGTTATCAACTGCGCAATCTTTTGAACATTCTATGTTAATATTTACTCGTTTTTAAAATATTCGTTAAATTTATTTTCATCGATTATTTTTTTTGACATTTTTATATTATCATTAACCAGGTTATACAAAAATTTAAATGTTTAGATTAATTAAATTATGAACAGGATTTGGGATTAAAGATGTTTTTATATTTTTAGCCTAACCTAAAAAGCATTTTATACAAAACTTTATTCCGTTCAAAGTACAACTAAAAATTTTTATTAATTTAAAGTAATCAATAAATTTAGATATGTTTAAAGAACTCAAATCTCTTAATCTCGAACGTATTTAAAACCAATATGCAAAGGTGCGACCTTTAATAAAATAAACTTAGTTTAACATTTAATTTTCTATTTAAATTTTCCATTTAACTATAAATACAACACTGCGTGACTTATTTATTTTATAAATAATTTAACCATTATTAATCGTATTACAAACAATACATAAATTATTTAATATTTTTGAATTTGAAAGTAAGTCATTTTATTTCCTTTTTTTTTTATACATTTTAACGATGTCTAACAAAAATTCTTCTTTTCCTGAACCTATGGATATAGATTATCTAACCAAATTTTCTGATGAAGATAACAAAGATTATAAAAAAGCATGTCAAACATTATCATATTA